TGGTTAGTACTTGGATGGGAGACTATTAGTGAATAGCAGGTACTATATAGCCTATGTTTCAGAGGAAGGAACTAACAAAACCGCCTCTGAGTATTTCTTGCCTCAGAAAACCCTATGAAATTAATGGGATCGCCATACATCGGAGGCACATGCACACAAAGTTCAGATTCGAAGCCTTAATTAGGATCATTGCTATTTCTTATTTTGTACTCTGTCCCTGTAAAGATGAGACTAATGATCTTCCTCAAAGTGTGAGAAGAAATGTAACACGGCAATATTGTAAACTTTGAGCATCAGTGTTATTGTGTGGTATAAATAAAAATATTTTTATATATTCCATCTCTATAAAAACAGTCTCAGTGTTTGCTAATGTTTACTGTGGGTATGATTGCAGAAAACTGCAGAAGGAAAGGCAATGGCTTTATATATATTACTGGCTGGTGTGAGTTGCAAATGCATGAGACTGTCTTGTGATGTACATACATATATGTGTTTGTGTTTGTGTGTGTGTGTCTTGTAAAAAAAAAAGTGGAGGAAACAAGAGTTTGAAGTATAAAACTTCAAAAAGCAACTATTACACATCAAGTCCTGAAGGTGAAATGCCTATATAATAAAAACAAAAAGGATTTTATCACATTGACAGCAGTTTGATAGACACTTGTCTATTTATTTATTTTATTTAGTGTCACAACTTATTTCCTACTGATGAGGAACCCATGAGTTTAAATTTTAAATTGAGAGCTACTTTTAACATATCTAATTTTTTCCCCCTGGAAGTGTCAAGTAGGAAAACAAATTGCAAAACAGTATTCAAACACCTCCCCCTCAAAGACACTGATCTGTAGGAGGGACAAATGTTGTGACAGGGCAATTATTGATTAGGTACTGTCAGTCTCCTCAGATTAATGCATCTATTTGAATTTCTGCAGTGATACAAAGTAAATTGCCATAGGTTAATAAGTTTAATTCTGCAGAGCCTTTTAACTTTGAGGATGTTTAATTAAAGAGGCAAACTCATACTCTGTTTTCAAACCTGATGCTTTTGTCTGTGTTGCTGGTGGGGTTAAATACCTCTAAAAATACAATGATAACGGGAGAGTGTTTTGGAAGAAATAAACGTATTTGGGTGAAAAGTGTAGTCTTGAGAATTTTATTTGTAAGAAAACTTTCCAATTTGTTCTCCCCTTCCCCCATGCTATTATTGCACTGCTAGACTGACACCCACTGGTAACAGTCTGAGTTCACTGCTGCAGAATAAGCCTCGAGCAAAAATGGACTATTTTGTTGAGTTTGGACTTAAAATACAGAAGAATTCAAAATTAATTTCAGAAGAAAAAAATCATAAAACTGCATTTTATTTCTTGGATAGGTATATGTTTTGGCAGGCAGACTTTTGGACAATTCCTTTAAGTGAGGAAATAGATTGTATCTGTAGCAGGTGTTTAAATGGTATATATTACATATGTTTTATTTTACTATGTATGGGAAAAGATAGAAGTAATTGTCAAGTTTTTGTATCAATTTGATAGTGACTTCATTACAGCAAACTGAAGGCAAGGATGTCTACTTGTATAGGTCATTTATATTGAGGTAATAAGGCTAATTTTGCCAAAATCCACTTGCTCAGGTACTAAAATCAGAGTTTTAGTGTACAGCAACAGCCCAAGAACAACACCATGCAAGTGGTAGATTGTCCTGGCTGCCAAACAGGCTCATTTCCAAGCTTGTTAATTATGTTAGATTTGGATCTTGGAATGCTACTGACAAATAATATTTGGATGTTGCTTATTACATGTTACTTTGCTAATTAACTCGCTGCTAATTTTACATATATATCAGTATATATGTATCACCCCAAATTTTTAGAAGTAAAGTGTAGTCAATTTACATGCATGTATGTATATACAATTAATAGTATTGCTAGTTGTTACATTATTTTGCTCAAACAATGGTATTTCCTCTCTCTTTAACCCCAAAGCCACGCATTACTAATAGCATCATTATTTGTAATGTGTAACTTCCAAGCTCTGTTTAGATACTGCCTTATGAATGAAATAAAATTGTGCCTTTTCATGTTTTGACAGTAATGATATGTGAGGCTTTCCATATTTAGGAAAAAAAAATTTTTTTTGACATGGATAGCCTTGAAACTAGACAGGTATTTGTAAACTCCATAATTTTACTAATTATAGTAAAAGTTATCAGCAACTGGCTTCCTTTTGCTTTGAACTACACAGTCTTAATTTGCAGGAAGTATTTTTTATTGTTTAAAAAAGTGTGTGCAGTACATTTGTATGCATGAAGTGGTCTCTTAAAAACATGAAAGTGTTGAAAAGATCTGCCAAGGCTAGATAGTCTAGAGATTAAAGCAGTAGCCTTTCACCTTTGAGTCTGCACTTTGAGTCTTTCCTCAAAGCCCATGTAAAATGAGCTGCTCGGTCTAAGCTCAGTCTTCAGCGCTTCCACCCTAGAGTACAGGACTATTGCAGACTTCATAATTGGAGAATATAGATTCAGTTATGAGATTTGGGAAGTGTCTAGGGTGCTTTGTGAAGTGTTTACACTTCCGTTACCTTTATGGATTTTTACATATGTAGGGAGGTAAAGTAATGAAAAAATATTTCTACAGAGACCACAAAACCTGCTGTTTTTCACACTGGATAGTGTGATGTGCATGTCTGAGCTAGTGCCTTAGTGTTGTATGTTAATATGAATGCCAGCACTTATTAGCTATCTCTTTGCTTAAATTGTGCTAAGATTTAGTAGGGAAAATGAGAGCAGGCAAGAGGTACAGACCTAAAACTATAAAGCATGCTTATGATAAATCATTCCCTTCTTGAGGAGTCTAAATTCCCCAAAACATCCCGTCAGGTGTACTCTCTGCCTTGCTTTGCTTTGCTTTGTTTTGCTGGTATGAAGAGACCATTAGTGAATGGATTTGTCTGTGGCTGAACAGAAGTAAATGCAGATGGAAAGAACTGGGTGTTTTCTGGTTGAAATTTAGCTTCCTTTCCTTGCTTTCTGCCCATTGATAGTTTAATAAGTTATATTCCACAATACTAGACCAGTGACAGTAGGAAATCATTTGATAGTATAGGTAGAGTCACTAAGATGTAAACTGGGGGCCCAAGCATATCATAGCATTCACACTCCAGAAATAATCCAGTTTGATGCCATGTTAACAGTCATGGCTGAATGCTATGGAATTCTAGTTTAATGAGACATTTCACCTTCTCCATCAGAGCTGTGGTGCCACAACAAACTATGATTCCCAGGATTCCATTGCATATAGCCATTGCACTTAAAGAGGTGTCAAACTGGATTTATTCTGCAGTGCAGGTGCAGCCCTTGTCTTGTGAGCTTCCATCTCCATCCAGATGTGGTCAGTGGTGATAATATATTTAAGTTGATGGAATATAAACTCTGTTGTTTATTATGTGGTATTTAATTATGATAAATTGTTAATTAATAATCCAAAGTGATAATACTCTTAATATATAAACCAACTTTAATAAAGGAGACAGTGTGGTTAAGTGGTTTTAGCATTGGACTGTGACTCTGGAAGCCAGGGTTCAAGTCCTTGCTTGGCCATGGAGATCCACTGGGTGACCTTGGGCAAATCACACACTCTCAGCCTCAAGGGAAGGCAATGGCAAAACACTCTTTGAACAAATCTTGCTAAGAATGTCTTGTGATTGTGTTGTCATAGAGTTGCCATAGGTCAGAAATTAATTGAAGGCATACAACAACAAAAACAAGTAATAATTCCAGATCAAATTCAGGGAATAGGCTTTAGGACAATAAAACTTACACTGTGTGTTGTGGCCTAATCATTATTGAAAGGGAATGTCAGGTTGTGACTGAAATAAAATTTAAGAAGAATTATTAACATGAACTTTTTAAAAATCTATTTAACATTCTAGCCAAACCTTTGAAAAGGTTTAAAGATTGAGTTTAAAATAATATAGCTTAAATTGAAGGGGGAATTCTGTTTTGGATAGACCTTTAAAAGCATACTGAAACATTTCCCCTGATTTTCAAAATGCCACAAGGTTTATTTCAAGATTTGTTGTCACTAGGTTTGTATTAAAGATGCTAGGCTCAAGGCATCCTCCCATATTCATCTCCTCCAAAATCTTTCACAGTGGAACTTTTGAACATATTCTCCTTTTATAACAATCACAAGGTGGTTACAACACTACAAGTGTGAGTTCCCAGGCAGGTATAACATTACATAATTTGCAAAGACAGTTTGTATTCCTCTATTGTATCGTAATGAAGTATAAGTTGATTCTGGTTAACAATATGTAAGGATCGAAGTAAAATGGTGGCTGGAATTAATTTACATTTAAATGTTGAATAGTGGGGAATGAATAGATTAAAAGGTGGTGTTGGAATGATGTGATGGGAATGGGGGTTTAATGAAGGTATTAGAGAAGGGAATGGTCTGAGGCTGCATCCACACTGCAGAAATAATCCAGCTTGACACCACTTTAACTGCCATGGCTCAATGCTATGGAATTCTGGGAATTGTATTTTGTTGTGGCACCAGAGCTGCATGGTAGTTAAAGTGGTGTCAGACCGGATTATTCATGTAGTGCACTAGCAACCTCAGTTCCTTACTAAGAAAGATGTTAGGACAGTATCACACTACACTGCCATAGCACTATTATTCCATTTAACTGCTGTGGCTGCCTCCTTTGGCATCTTGGGAATTGCAGTTTAGGGAGGTCCATTTAGAATTCTCAGCCAGGCCTCATTGAACTACAAAGCCCAGAATTCTACAGGAGGCAGCCATAGCAGTTAAAGTGGAATAATAGCGCTATAACAGTGTAGTGTAATATTTAATATTTAGTTTGTTAGTAGTATAGTAATATAAAAGAAAGTAGGTATTTATGTGCTGGAGAGTGAAGAGTGAAATAATCTCTATGTGTGTGTATCATTTTAAATTATACTTAAATAAACTGCATATTTTGCTTCATATAGTGTCTGATCATATACCAGTGTTATACACAGTGCTAGTGCCTAAGAACTCTAAAGAACAGCTTTGTGTATAATGATGATGGTGAACCTATGGCACTCGTGCCAGAGATGGCAGATAGAGCCATTTTCCCTGGCATGCGGAGGGTGGGGAGGAGGAGAAAGA